TACATGCAAGTTCAATTATAAAATTATATAAAACCAGTTAAAAAAAAACTTAGATGATGGTCATTTTTCATGACATGTATAGTGTCCTTTTATATTAAAATGAGTTAAGTCACATGGTACAATGAAACAGGTTTAAAACACATTTCTAATGCTTTTGTTTTAAATGAAAGGCTGTTACACTATTCATACTTACTCCATCAAGTATTTTATATAAAAAAAATAGAAGTAACATAGAGACCTAATGGGTAACTTTTTTGATTATTGGCCCAAAATTATGATATTCCTAGTCAGAGTTCGTATATATCATACATTAATATACATCAAGAAAAAAAATGTTTATTTGCAAAAATGATTTTTTAAGAATTATTTTCTGACGATTTATAGAAGTCAAACGGACTATATGAGATGTATTGGTTTAAGAAGAATGGTTTTTTAGTTTTAATATTACAGACAACTAGAAACAATATAGTATCTTGTTTTGGAATTTGTGTAAGAGTTAATGGAAATTGTCCAGGAAAAAATAAATCAACAAAAGTTATCTAGATAAAAACAATTAAATGTGATTGTTATTCAAATAAAATGTATAAAAACTACAAAGAGTTCAAATTATGCTTTAGCACTGCTTCTGAAATGCTGCTTACTCTATCGGAATAATTCTTCATATCAACAAACTGAACATTATAACGAACTTGAAATAGGTTATAGACACGTTTAAAAAATATAAACAAATAAACTAATTCTTTGTTGTTGGGAAAAAAGAAAAATTTCCAAAGAGAACGTGTTGTGTGTGAGAAACAATAGAGATTATCCTTTCCTCCATATAAAATGTAAGAAAAATGTATATATTTCTGAACATTATTCTATATTACTTATTCAAATCAACTTAACTTTACAATTTTAATTTCAGAGGATTACATGAGTAATACAAAAAAGGAATATCTCATAGAAAATTATTATTTATAAAATAGAATGCCCAAAAAAAGAAAATAAAAATTAAAAACTTAACAAACAAAAATGATGATGATATTAATTTTGCATGTATTGCATGGCGACGTATTTTACACTTCTTAACTTATAACATACTTATGTATGCATGTGAGTGTCATTTTGGGACCCCAAAAAACAAAAATATTGCCAAAAATTGGGATTTCGGGGAACATAAATAGAAAACATAACAAACATGATGAAGGTGATATAAATGATGTCTTTACTGCAATGTTTTTAACAATAAATACTATTAGATACTTCTTAGGTGATGTAAATGTTCCTTTGAGGCCAAAAATAAATCTAAAATAGTGCCAAAAAAATGTATTTCTGTGAATTTTAAATGACAAACTGAAAACCCATAATGGAAATGATATTAATGATGCATATTATAGTTCATTACCATATTCTTAACAATTACGATTCTATCTTTGAAATACTTCTTGAATGGATGTAAATGTAATTTTGGGCCAACTAAAATAAGATATTGCAAAAATAATATGGTAATTCTGGAAATTTTCTGGGGATATTAATGATGCCTATATTGCATTACAATGTATTTCATGCTTAATTTTTTTAACTTCTTTAAAGACTGTTGTAGTCATTTTTAAGGTTAAAAAATATTACCTAAATATAGAGGAATTTCTCAGAATTTTAAAGAATACTCTTCTCAAATGAATGGAATGATGTCGTCAGTGCAAAACAATGTACCAAACAATATTTATTTTATTTTTTTATATTACACTATAATGCGTTTTGAAATCATTTTGGAACAAAAATTGGGATTTTGTGCATTTTAAATGTCAAACTTGACAAATATAATGCAGATGATATCAATAAGTCACAAAGTAACAGATAAGCATTTTATATTCTGTACTTTTTTTAAAAGTAACACTTTAAATAATGTTGAAGTTTCTTGACAAAAACTTTTTAAGAAAAACATGAATTTCAAGGAATTTTTGGTTGAATAACAAAATGATAGAAAATCTCTAAAGGTAATATAAATCAATGAATAAATCTACATATAACATACAATACCTGCATGCATATAGCTATATAACTGGCCCTGCACGTGTAGCTCACAAGACATGCCATCAGAATTCTATTTCTTTCGACTTTTTGAATATGCAGATAGGAGTGATTATAGAACTATAGTTATTCCCCTTTGCCCATGGCAATTATCTTCATTTCGGAATATGTGACACTTTACCCGGGGTTTTGCGACACTTAAACTATTGACATTCATTCAACAATCATTATTACATTGTTGCGTTAGACATTTTCTCTTATGACGTCAAAACTTTACGGGAACGCCTGAGAAGGCCAGTAATGCAGGACAAATAGCGCGGACAAGGTGTATATGTTGAATGTACTGTATAGAATAAGAATGTGAACATTTATTACTTTATTATATGTTTTATGGACAATACATATCTTTTAATTAAGAATAAACCCTTGGATTATAGTTTGTTGTTCGTTTGACTCAGAAAACACACCGTTTCATCTTTACCTTCTGATAGGGGGTTCTCCTTGTCTGGAGCAGATACAATAATATATGTAATCGACACCAGTGGGCCTCATGACACCTGCCCAGGTTGTGTTTTTTTTTTTGTTCATTGTTAGTGAGCCAGAAGAGGTCCATCTATTTTTTTTTGTATTTGGAAGATCTTGACAGTCTTGAGCATCTACCTCTTCGTACTAAATACTTAGTAGGTAGATTAGACGGCAAAGGTACATAGCAAGATTGGCATCGTTTAGTCTAAATGACATTGATAAATTTATTAATGCAGATATAATAGAATGTGAGCTGTGTGATACACGTTTAAATTGTATGGCAACTTTTGTAGGACATCCCTGTAGGGACGCTAAGCTGGATGCAGATAAATATTAGTGTTGCTTGCAATACTGTTATATTTCTGAGACACGAATTAAAACATCCGCTGAACAGTAGTTCTATAAAATATAATCACAAACTTCTTGTCTATTTTATACATTTTCCTTCGGATATTCCAACTGAAAATAAATAATGAAAATATCCGATGAAAAATGGCAAATAAAAAAGACATGGATGATTTTATTTTATAGAATTAGCCAGACAATTAACTTAAAAGTAAGGGCCGCACGGCCATTCGATATTCTGGGGAAGGGTAGGGGGCAGGAGGACTTTTGCCGAGTTTATTATTCATTTTAATTTCGCTATGCATGCTTATCTTTTTAATTAGCTTAAAGATGTTTGCTTGTCATATTTTGGAATGTTTGTCAGATTTTCGGAATCCTCTGGTTTTATCAAATCAATTGCCTTAAAAAAATTTGCCCATTGACCACCATTTTCTTTTTATAAATCTTTTATATGTATAATTATAAGCCATCTGTAAAAGTCTTATAAAATCTTTGTTATTTTCTAATAGTTTTTGAGACTTTAAACTTGTCAATGATAATGCCATGAAAAATCAAGAGAGAACATTTTCCCGCCAAAATTTCAATGGCTCATATCTCGAAAACAAGCACATTGACCTATACTTTATTTTGCTCTTTTGATTCCTTTTATAATCCCTTATCAATATATTCTAGTTTTATGAAAAGCTTGTTATTTTGAAACTGAGTAGCGAACCTCCTTAAATCATTTACTCCCAAACTACAGTATCAATCAGTACACAACCAACAGATTTAGTCGTATAAAGACGTCATAAACAGTAGTAGAAACCAGAGATATATAGTGCAATATTATGATATGTCTCTGTAGAAACGCATGACCTTGTAAACCTTGAATCAGAGACATATAACGTCACGGTACCCAAATTGCACCTTTTCAACAAAAATAGCTGCGGAAATCTTACAAGTTTTCTTTGAGACAACACAATTTGTATTTTTATGATTTGATATTATAGTATACCCGTCTTTCAACCTAGGTAAATATATTTACACATGCACAAAACGTTCACAGTATGTATCAGCAGATGGAGCGTTAACTGAAAAAGCAAAGTCTACGGAAACGTCGCCATGAGACGTTCACAAAAAGTCATCTTTTAAAAATGAGCAAATAAAATATGTTACAAGCATCCATTTCGTGAAAAATGAATAGTTAGGCATGGACTAATGTCAAATTGTTCTAAATACTTGAAGAAATAAAACATAACATCTGTTATTCGATTTTTAAGGATGTGAATTTAAGCATGGATGCAATTTGGGTACCCTCATTACAGACTCATGGATCGTTGAGAGGTCGGTTCAAGTCCATTTTTCTATTATTCAATATATATTAAAAATTGAATTGGTGTAACTATATAGTAAATAAGGATACATCTACAAAATAAACACAGAATGGAAACTTTTGTCTGAACCATGAAAAAACGTAGGTGAAAAAACTGTCAAAATAGGTGCAATTTGGGTACTCTCACGTTATACATATGTGTATTACTATGATACATGTATGTCTCTGCTTGTAATATACATATCTTTTTATAATACAAAAATAATCCAGTTTGGTCACTTTAAATGTATTTGATCGATTTTCGATCATATACCAAGACAAGCATTGACAAATTCTTGGACAGTTTAAAATTATTCCTAAAAATCACGTGGTCGGAGCTTTAATCCGGAATTGTAAAGTTAGCTTAATTGAGTTTATGAACGCATAAAGAAAAAGTGTCATGAACATTGTCATTACAATTTCTTCCAACCAATTTTCTTTGTTTTTACACTTATTATATAAATACATCACTGCCAAAACAGAGCATACTATAATTGCAGTCATGTCTTCGAATGAACTGACACAGGGACAGTACTGTCCTTGGCTGACGTAACTGAATTTTCTCTCTTACTCTTGTAAACAAACATTATGTCACTGATCCAACTGCTATATTCGACGCCAAATTGAATTTGTGTTTTATTGCTTCTTCTTGGCTTCAGAAGAGGTCCAGATTCATTTTTCTAACTCTTCACCAGAAGATATTCTGGATATGTACAGAAGAGAGCAATAAAACACGCCCCTGATGCTGAGTTCGGAGTCTGCGCACTCCTACAGCGCTCTTCTCGAATGGTCATGTTAAAGAGAAAGACGAACTTGAAAACAGTGTTCTTCGCCCATATCTTGAGGTATTTTGATTATGGAGATCCCTTTACACATACACTTAGTCCAGGTTGTGTCATTTCTGAGGGCAGTGGTCTTACCACGAGAAATCAGATGAACAACAACATGAACAAGTTCGGCCTTGAATATAATTTTCGGCCTCAGTGGTATCGGGTCCGTTTGCTCGAATATCATGTTCGCTCCTAGCTGCGGAACCGTAGCTCTTAGGTCCTTATGATATGTTTTGACTATTTGCAGACCCTAATATTTTTTGACTATTTGCGGACCCCGCAAAAAGTCGAAAAATATCATAAGGACCTAAGAGCTACGGTTCCGCCGCTAGTTTTTTATTTAATTCTTGCCAGATTTTTATAAAACTTATATCATAGGTTAATATCACTGCAATGTCTTGAGCAAGTTCAAAAAATCAGTTCCGACCAATTAGTTTTAAAAGAGTTATGCCCCTTGGAAACATTAACTATATGGAAAATTGCATCTTATGCGTTTTCATATGTTTAATTCTTGCCTGAATTTTATGAAACTTATATCATAGGTTTATATCCATGATATCAGCAATGTCTTGGTCGAGTTCGAAAATCAGTGCTGATCAATTACTTTTAAAAGAGTTATGCCTCTTGGAAATATTGATTATATGGAAAATTGCCTTATGAGTGCTCTTATGTGTACAATTCTTGCAAGATGTCCATGATATTTATATTATTGGTTTATTTCATCAATGTCTTTGAAGAGTTCAAAAATCAGTCCCGATCAATTATTTTTAAAAGATTTATGCTCCTCTGAAATATTGATGATATGGAAAATTTCCTTGTTCATGTTGTTTGCGCTCTCATATATATGTTCAATTCTTGCCTGAATTTTATGAAACTTATATCATAGGTTTATATCAGCAATGTATTTGACAAGTTTGAAAATCAGTGCAGATCAATTATTTTTAAGAATTATGCCCCTTGGAAATATTAATTATACATGTATATATGGAATATATTAATTATACATGTATATATGGAAAATTGCCTGATTAGCACTCTAATGTATACAAGTCTTGCCAGATTTTTATGAAATTTGTATTACAGGTTAATATCAATGTCTCGGACAAATTAAAAAATCAGTGCTGATCAATAATTTTTAAAAGAGTTATTTCCCTTGGATATGTTGATTAAATGGAAAATTGTGTTGTTAGCGCTCTCATGTTTACAATTCTTGCCAGAATTTTTTGACACTCCCGAAAATAAGTTTTGATCAAATATTTTTAACGAGTTATGTCCATTGGAAAAATTAATTATATTATAACGGAAATCACATTGAAGCCTTCATTTCTCTAAGATATATATAATACATGTATGTTTTATTTAGTTATTGCCCTTGTACCTTGGATAGATAAAATATGTACAAGGCGGGTGACATTGGAACTCTGTTCTTTTATAATGACTTTACTTTGTCATGTTTGTCTTTTAAAAATTGCTTCAAAAAAAAAATGTTAAATGTTTACTTTCCAAACTTTAATTTATTAAAAATGATTTCAGGATGCATTATGACTTTCAAGTCATTTGTTTGCAGTTCAAGGTCAAACAAACCAATAATATGTTTGCATATAAGAATATTGCTGGCTAAATCTTCATTCACATAGGGAGCTTTCTAACTTAAGATTCTTAAATTTTTAGGAAATGAACCAGATTTCCTAATGGTTATCTTTATAAGAGAACGGGACAGGGATCAAGATTTATATAATCTCGAAAGCCATGAGTATGATGCCTAGGTTTCGACCATTTCAATTATTGTCTTCTGCCTGATAGACTACTCTTTACAATATAGTACAAGGAATAAAGAAGACTAGACTATGGCATCTCTTTCTGTAGAGGAGGAAAACTATGTTCGAATGAGTTTATTACTGACAGGTATTTCTCCACGTGCTGTAAGAACCTGTTTTGACGATGAGTTAGCTCCCGAATGTTTAGAGGACTCACTGAAGAAAGAGTATAGCAAACTATTGGAATTGAACAAGGAATATCTAATCAATCAATCACAGTGGAACCTCCTGTTTCCAAGATTTCCTGGTAAGTGCAGAAATAAAACTTCCATGATATAAGCTTTTAAGCTCACCTACCAAAAAGGTGGTTAAATAGGAGTAAACTGCAGTTTTTGTCTGATATCTGAAAAACAAAAGCAGTTCAGTAAATTTGACGTAGGTTAAAATTGACCAACTGTTCAAGGTACAAATGTATCACCTTCAAAAATTTTACTACCCATTTTGGAGACCTTGCCCTTAATCAGGCTCATTTAAATATATACATGTATGTCGATATTCAGAAAAATTTCACAATTTTTATGCTCACCCCCCCCACCACATAGTGGAGGGGGCATTAAGTTTTACCCTTGTCCGTCTGTACATACGTCCCAAAATTGGTTTCCGTTCTCTAACTTTAGTTTTCCTCAATCAAATGTTATTAAACTTATACACAATGCTGATTACCACAAAACACAGATCAAGTTTGAATTTTGGTGGCGTCACTTTAACCGTTCTAGAGTTATGCCCCTTTTAAATTGAAAAAAAATGCTGAATTTTTCGTTTCCGTTCTATTGCTTAAGTTAGCCTTAACCAAATGTTGTGAAACTTATACACAGTGCTTATTACCACAAAACACAGATCAAGTTTGAATATGGGTGGAGTCACTTTAACCGTTCGAGAGTTATGCCCCTTTACCATGTTTACAAATGGAAAAAATTACTGAATTTTTTGTTTCTGTTCTCTAACTTTAGCTTGCCTCAACCAAATGTTATGAAACTTATACACAATGCTTATTACCACAAAGCACAGATTGAGTTTGAATTTTGGTGGCGGCAGGTCTATTGCTCTTGAGTTATGCCCCTTTACAAGTGGAAAAATTGCTGATTTTATTGTTTCCCTTCTCTTACTTAAGTTTGCCTCAACCAAATGTTATGAAACTTATACACAATGCTTCTTACCAGAAAACTCAGATCAAGTAGTTGAAGTACAAATTTGGGTAGCATCACTTTTACCGTTCTTGAGTTATGTCCCTTTATAACATTGTATGCAAGCGGGGGCATCATCTGTGTCCATGGGGACACATTCCCCATTTATTGAGTTACTAACAGATATAGAGAATTTTAAACAGTAAAAATGACAAGAACAGCATTTGACATGGGGTAGAAGTGACCAGCTGTTCAAGGTATCACTTGCACAATATTCAGAAAAATTTCACTACCCATTTTGCCCTTAATCATACTAATACATGTATGTCATTTTTTTGCAAATTTCAGTTTTTATACGCCTGTTTACGGGACGTACTATGGTATACCGTTGTCCGTCTGTCTCTCCGTTGTCAACATGTCGGACATAAACTCAAAAACGCTTTAACCAATTTGCATAAAACTTTGGTGAATTATTTATATCTATTGACGTGTGCTCCCTTTTGTTTTTTATAAATTTTAGATTTTAGGTTTCCGAGTTATGGGGTTTTATTCATTAAAAAAAGGGGATTTTCCAGTTTTCGGACAATAACTCAAGAATGCTTTCACCACCTTGCAAGAAATTTTGGTTAATCACATGTTAATTGTTTATATCTATTGACATGAACTCCCTTTTGATTTTTATAAATTTTAGATTTTACGTTTCCAAGTTACGGGGTTTTATTCATTAAAAAAGGGGGGATTTTCCAGTTTTCAGACAATAACCATGATAACTCAAAAATGCTTTCAGCAATTCTTATGAAACTTTGGTGAATTGATTATATCTATTGATCATGTTGATGTAAGCTCCTTTTAGAATTTTATAAATTTTATTTGTTTATAGTCTCTTACAACAGATTTACTAAGTATTGTGCAACAGCATAGTGTATTGCACAACAGCAAGAAATCTTTAATTGAATATAAATTCAATTCATATAACCAATTTCAAGTTCTTTGACTACATTTATTCAAAAACCTATAAAATGTCAAATATTTAATTACAATCCAAATTCAGACCTGTATCAAGCTTGAATATTGTGTCCATTTTTGCCCCAACTGTTCAGGGTTGGACCTCTGCGGACGTATCCAGCTGCGCTCAGTGAAGCAGTTTATTAGTTATTATCTTAAAATCCTTAACAGATAGGGACAGTTTTTAAACAGTAAAAATGACCAGAGCAAGATAAGATATACAATAAGGCAACTAGCATGACTAGTCGAAATCATTAGTTGACTTGTTTTTGGAGTTCCTGCTTTTTAATGACGAAATTATCAATTTTTGCCTATTATCTTGAAAACATTAAAAGATAGATAGAAACTTTAAATAACAAAAAGATAACCAAGACAAGATCTACAATTTTTACAAACAAGTCAAATTTTGCAGAAATAGTTATAAGACTCTTTTGAAGGAGGATTTTGTTTACCCTCTGTTGTGTTTGGGGAAAAAACTAAAGAAGATAGAGAAACTGTAAACAGAAAAAATGATCAGCTAAACAAGATCACCAAAAAATTGTTTTTTGTCATAAAATCTATCATGTCTATTCTATATCTAGTCTACAATGTTGGAGAATGTCTATGTTGAAGATGCACATAGACCTAGGTGAGCTAGATGGGCTCTTTTCATTAAAACATCTTAAAAAGCACAATCATCCTATTAAATATTTAACAGTTCAACCTTTAGAAGTAGTAAATAAGCAGCCTGGTGAATCTCATTCAAAGTTTGTACGATCACGGAAAATAATTGAATTAAATTGGATTAAAAAATTACAGACAGTCTACCCTTTCAGTCTTAATGATAATATCATGGGAATTGGTAATATATCAAGAACCGATCCCGTTAACATTTTGGATATAGTTTCTAAAACTGTTCGTAAAAACCGTTCTCATGGGCGTAGAAAAAATCGCAATCAAAGAAAATTTCGGACCAACCATACAAATATTTCGGACCGGATTTCTATTTCAAAAAACAATGGCAGACATTATCTATCAACCAAGCTCTGTTCTATACCTATAAATAAAGTAAATAAAATTTTAGAGGATTGCAACACAATTTCATATTGCAGTCCTATAAGTACATGAAGTATGAAATTGTTCAAATTATAATGGCATATTGTTATTCTAAACTGTTTCCCAAAATTGATCGCCCTGAAGATCATAAAAAACATTTTATAAAAATAAAGTATGTCAATAAAGGTTTTGATTTTGTAAATATTGCCAGTATTTTTAACAACCATTCTGTTAAAGAACAAATTCCTGGATATTTTGATAATACTGAACTCCCTCTTATTTGTTATATTTACAAGAAATCTACCTGAAAATTTGTGTTTAGTTATAGCCAATAAAATTGAGAATGGAAAAGTCTGTAAAGATGTAAATATCAGTGAAAATACACCTACGTCATGTAATTGTAGTAATTCCGAATACACTTATGGCCCCATTTCCTATGTTATAACAGGAGACCTTAACAGCATTCGCGACCGAGAGTTAAAATCATTCCTCAGTAAAGGACCTAAATATCGCCCCCCGTCAATTATTAATTGGAATGAGTGTCGTAATATCATCCACGACTCACTTCGTGCTTACTGTTTGAAATGGATAAAAAGGGAAAAAGCTGACAAAAAATCTTTGGACTCTTTTTTTAATTCAGTAATGAAGATAGTTGATATACGTATACAACATTTTAAAGAACATTTTACTCTTAACAACAACCATAAAAATCCTATTTCTCGTATCAAACATAAACTAAAAGAACTAGCCAAGGAATTTGTTTTTGTCCCGGCTGATAAAGCTGCTAATAATATCATTATAGTTTGACGTAAATTTTACATTGAGGTTCTGCCAAAGGAAATCATGAATTCACCAACATTCCAACTGACTTCATTTTCAGAAAACGATATCTGTAACAAACATAAACTATTAGCTACTTCTTTACATGCAGAACCAAATACAATGAAAGTCCCAACTATGTACTGGCTTCCGAAGCTACACAAATCACCTTACAAATATAGATTTATTTTGTCTTCAAGTCATTGTTCCACTACTAAATTGTCTATTCTACTTACTAGTACACTTGGTACAATCAAAAACCTGATAATAAATTGTTCAAATAAGGCCTTTGAAAATAGTGGAATTAATTACTTTTGGAGTGTCAAAAACTCTTTGGTAGTACTTGATAAATTGCATGCATATATTGGTGATTTTGAATCTGTTCAAAGTTTTGATTTTTCTACCCTATATACCACTTTGCCTCATATTCATATTAAGAAAAAATTCACACACCTAATAAAATGGGCATTTAAAAAGTCGGAATGCGAATACATATGTTCAAACTCTTTTAGGTCATTTTTTAGTAGCAACAAACAAAAGAACTATGTCAATTGGACATGCTTTGATACTATATCTGCCCTTGAATTTTTACTTGATAAGATTTTTGTTCGCTTTGGAGATTCCATATATCGTCAAGTTATCGGAATTCCAATGGGGACTAACTGTGCACCACTTATTGCAGACCTGTTTTTGTATTGTTATGAGTTACAATTTATGACTAAAATCAGCCAAGACCCATCGAAACAACATCTGATACAAAAATTTACAATACTTTTAGATATTTGGATGATATATTGGCTCTCAATAATGACGACTTCAGTATGTATACTAAAGAAATATCCTGTTGACCTGTTGAACTTACTTTAAATAAAGACAATACTAACAATGACCACTGTCCTTTCCTTGATCTTGATATCTATATCATTAACGGGAAGCTTAATACAAAAATTTATGATAAAAGAGATGATTTTTCATTTCCTATCGTTAATTATCCATTTTTAGATGGTGACGTTCCCTTGTCACCATCTTCTGGTGTTTATATATCTCAACTTGTACGATTCGCTCGTGTATGTAACAACGTATTAGATTTTAGCGATAGAAATTTATGTATTACTGAAAAATTATTACACCAGGGTTTTCGATATCATAAACTAGTCAAAACATTTACTAAATTTTATCATCGGTATAAGGACATCATTCGTAAATATAACTCAACATGCAGACATCTTATACGTTCGGGTATTTCACATCCAATCTTTTAGGG